ACAATTAACTAATGATGAAAACAGCTGACATGAATTTCTTAGGTATTGAACATTAAACGTAAGCATAATTTATTGAAAATTTGAGGTAACATTCAAACTCCATTCTAGTTTTTCTATTATAGTTTACACATAAACCATCAATTAATTATCATTTCTTTTTTCTAACAAAAATATCCGTTAAGCGAATGGTACTGGGTTTCAGTCCCAGAGTGAACATCAACTCTGAGATGCAGGTACATCCAGCGGACGAATACCAAATAGGACGAAACGCGCGTCCTGGATTCCGCTGCTAGCCACTATCCATCATTGCTTACGTTAATCTAAGTGTTTATTATTTGAAACTAACATAATACAAGGATAACTTATAGTAAATTAATGTGTTTATTCATTTTCATAAAATACTTTTGCATTGGACGTTACTTACAAGATTATTTGTAAATAGTGTATAGAGGAAAACGATGTCGAAGTTGCTATAATTGTCATATGTAGAGAAGAGTTTCAGTGTATTAAAAGCACAGTATTTGAACAACACTTGAAGACCAGATGACAATACAGTTTAAATGGTAGAATACATCAACAACACAATGTACACCCCGACCTATTCATACGCTACATTTATTCGATGTTAAAAGGGTAAATTATCTTGCAAATTTTTCAATTTCTTAAACAGATCAATCTACATGTTTGTATAAGTAACAATGTTAATAAAATAAACTTTTTACAGAACATAACTTTCCATGGCAATTTCGGTAAAATAATAAACAATAAAATCTCTAATAATTTTTTTTGGAGATATAAATATTTTATGAACAGGTGTGAAGGCGCGAATCGGCAAAGCAAAATCATACTATGGGAGAGAACAAACGAGAATCCAGAGGAGGAAGAAATCAGGAAGAAGTGTTGGAAGTGGATAGGACACACATTGAGGAAGCACCCAACTGTGTCACATAACAAGTTCTCACTTGGAATCCTCAAGCTCAAAGGAGAGGAAAACTAAAGTACACATTACTTCGAGAAACGGAGAAAGACATAAGAAGAATGAACAACAATTGGATAGAACTAGAAAGAATGGCTGAGGATAGAGTGGATTAGAGTATGTTGGTCGGCAGACTGGACTGGGAGTAACAGCCGTAAGTAAATTAGTAAGTAAGTAATATTTTATGAGGTACATGTAACTTGTATCAATATTTGTTTAGCAAATAAAAGTTAAATATATGTTCCAATACACAATGAAATTATCGATTTCTGAAACTAATTGTTTATAATGAGTGCTTCGTAAATTGAAATGGTGAAGTATAGTTACGGAGGGTGCATACAAGTAATTAAGTTGGTTTATTTACTTACTACTTAGTAATCATGAAAGAAGTTTCGAACCATTGGTCTTTCGAACATTTATTTTTTTGTTTCAGCACATTTGACTTTATTGTTTAATACTTTCGTCGAGCAATTGGATTTTCACAAGAATACTTCTTACACAGTTTAACAAAAGTTAGTTGACCAGTCATACAGGAGTATGATTACTCTATCACTAAATATTAACTAAAGGTCGGCGAGACTATCATTTACGGCTGAAGCAATCAGATTTAAGATAACAGGTCTTGGATTTTTGCTCACAGTTCATTCATCCATTTTACTAAATAACATTTTGGCATTATAGCTTAAGTCAGTTCTTGATAAAAATCCTAAATCTAACACCTAACGCTAAAGTAAGTGGAAATTCTCAAGGTCAATGTAGTGTCACTCAAGTTATTATAGTCTCACCCTATAGATCTGATGATATTTCCCTTTAAAAATAAAAATACGTGTTAAGGATGATGAAGTTATTAACTTCATGATTTATAAACCAACCGCATTAGTAATAAATCATTACACTGTGCATGTATTCATATAATTAACGAACATAAACTTATCCGTTAGTATCAAAGTATTTCTTATCTAATGGCAGTAGCTTTATTCTGTAATACAACCAAGCGTGACACGTTTAAAACTGATCTGATCTATTATGCACCATAGAGTCTATTTACTGCAGTGGTATTTATATTAATAAAGGATGATTCATTCCATAATTTACTCCAATCGGAAATCCATTACAACTGGCTTGAATGTTATTCATGATAAAGTATATCAAAGGACATAAAACAAGTTTTAATAGGCTACAAATATAGTGCATGTTGATAGATATAAGTAGTATGTAGCACCTACCAGAGAAAGATTATGAAGATTGAATTAAAGAGAAGAGAGAGGAAGACAGAGAGAAAGTGTAATAACAAGAGAATTGAAAGAAATCATGAAGCATATAAAGGATAACTGAAGAATGATGTGTAGATAATGTATTTAATGTATGCTTTTCATATTTTATAAATCCATCCGGAATTTTGCATCAAGTTAAATTGGTTTCCACCACTTGAATTCTCGTTCATTACATATATATATAATTGATCAAGCTTCTGTTTAAGATCATTAAGTTAGTAATTCAAATTAATCCATTACGATTCTATTTTCTTAGCATATACTGGTGATATATGAAATAACAAAGAAGAATGGAGTATTTTATCTTCATCTTTAGTTATTTAAGAATCATCTGAAAAAGTATGGTGTAAGATACAATTTCGTAACTTCTTTCCTAATTCTATTGTAAGGTAATACTGAACTGATACACTCATTAAACAAACTATAATATCCACAAAACCCATCTGATATTAATCAACATATGCTCACTAGTGACTGGCTTCAAGAGGTATATCCTGGAGTTCTAGTGAGAAGTAGTGACCAGTGGAGTTCAACCAGGTCTGTTGTGAGATATTAACTCACTGAAGACAATGGTCGATGTGTCGCTCAACTTCGTGGATTAGCTGAAGTTAGACATTAAAACCGTTGGATGTTGGCCGGCCCAGTGGTCTAGTGGTTAATTGCTCGCGCGCTAAACCAGTGGTTACTGGGTTCGAATCCCGTGGGGTGCGGGATCGTGGATGCGCACTGCTGAGGAGTCCCACGGTAGGACGAAACGGTCGTCCAGTGCTTCCAGGTTTTCCATGGTGGTCTAGCTTCAATCGGCTCATGATTTCAATCGGTGAACCATTCCAATAAAAAATAGACAAGAATGTAGAATGATACTTTATGAAGACAACTGAAGCTATATAATGTATATTTGATTGTAAGTTTGACACCCGGTAAATTTAAAAGTAATAACTAATCAAAATCATAGGAATATATATAGATTACGTTCTATTTCTGTTCAAATAGATTGCAAAAGAGACTCAGTAACGTGAACTTTACTTAATACTTATTAGTAGATAGGAATGATTTCAAGCAATGATTCAGTCAAATATATTCACCAATGAAGAAACCATCATAAAATTGTTGTTTTTATGTTATACTAAGTATTAGGCTAATTGAATTAACTGATGGATAGTAAATACAGTTAAATACCTACATAAAATTGATTATGATCTTTATTCCACATGACTAATTTTGACTTCATTCATATACCATATTATAAATTAAATGATTACTTAATATATCCAGTTTCATAAAACTATTCAGCTTTTCGTAGTTTAAATAGTACTACATAACTTACTTACATACACCTGTTACCCTCAATAGAGCATAGGCCGCCGACCAACATACTCCAATCCACTCTATCCTCAGCCATTCTTTCTAGTTCTATCCAATTGTTGTTCATTCTTCTTATGTCTTTCTCCGTTTCTCGGAGTAATGTGTTCTTTAGTTTTCCTCTCCTCCTTTGAGCTTGAGGATTCCAAGTGAGGACTCGCCTTGTGACACAGTTGAGTCCTTTCCCCAATGTGTGTCCTATCCACTTCCAACACTTCTTTCTGATTTCTTCCTCCTATGGATTCTCTCCCATAGTGGATTGTTATTGGTAGTGTCTGTCCAACGGATCCGAAGTATTTTGCATGGACAACTGTTAACAAACATGTGTATCTTCTGAATGATAACTTTAGTAGTATTACTCCAGGCGGAGTCGATACCATATAACTAGTACTAATAAAAAGTCTTGCTCGATGTGATTGATCATATTTAAAATGAAACAGTTATCCGCTTACAGTTTCGAATAATTGTGAATATACTGAGAATTAAAATGTAAATTACAAGATTCTAACAAAGTAGTTATGAATCCTTGAAGATTCGAATTTAAACACGTATAGCGTTGTGAATGAGTACCATCGAATATTTATTGACCAGATGATATTAGTTCAATATTAAATCTAGTTTTGACTATAACTAATCATTGATCTAACATCTTGAAAGTTTTTTTTTCAAAAGTTACTATGAATTTTATATTTAAATCTATTCATTTTGTTACGTGTAAAAGATAAATCATACAGCGTTTAATTATAATTTGGAACGTCTTAGAATTCGAATTACTCTTAAGGGAAAACATTCAGTCCGTCAGTCTGTCAGTTAGTCACAACGTAGAACTTCGTACGTAAGTACGGGTTGCCACACCACATTAGCACAGAGATACAATTGTCGATTAAAATCCCGTAGTGGTAGAGGTGTTAAAAGTATAAGCAGTAATCGGAAAGGTTAAGGTTTGAAGATGTTATTCAAGGAGTATAATCCAGTGACATAAATTTGGAAAGAGAAAAAAAGAGACAAGGAGGATTCAGAAGATTAGAATTTGGGAGAACACAAAGAGTGGACGCACCTGCTCCATCGTAAATGATTTTGAGCCATGTCATTCAGGGTCTCTAACCATCGGTTGCTATCATCTCTCATTCCCCAACCCGGTAGTCTACACCTACCAACATGAATCAGTCCACTTGTCAGTGACTTCATGGACATGTGCCATGTTTTGGTCTGGCCGCCCTTAGCTTTCTTCCGACCTACTCCTACAACATAAAACATCGCACGTCGAGGCAGTCGGTGGTTGGGAAAATGTTAGTCGAGGTTATATTCCTGAAGATCAAAACAATTAATTAATCGTGAATTCAAATTATTGACCACAATGTATATAATGGGTAAATAAATAATCTTGCCTGATACATAATTATTCATATAGTCTTCATTTGTAATGTTACGTTGATTTGTATTATTACCAGTGTACAACATGGCAGAACTCACTGAATTATATTTATTAACGTATGGATTATATGAAATATTATTAGTTGTATGATTACGATTTCTATAATCAAATTCTGGTATAATAGTTATTTGTTGACTTTCAGAACGTTTATATGGTGTTATTATAGAATCAAGACTAGTATCTTCACTATTTGTTGGTAAATTTAATTCAGATTGATATAACCATATAGTACGATTATTATTTTGATTATCAAGTGTATTTGTATTCGTTGGTGAAAATACAGTTGTATTATTATCTTCAACAGTTGATGTTGGACTTGGTTGACCACAAGATAAACTTCCACCAACTGAACGACTTTGTTCACGATATACACTTGTTGGTTTTAATAAATTTCCATCACGTAATAATAATGTAGATGAAATTGAATGAGATTTTGTATGTTGTATATCAGGATATTTAATTAAATTTGTATGTATACCATTTAATTTATCACCAGATGGAGATAATAATTGATGAATACCATTAGTAGAATTCTTTGATGAATTATTTGTATCATTGTAACTCTGATGAAAAATTTAGAAACAAAAATTTTTTTTACTTATAGATTAATGAATAGTATAAAACTGACGAATGTTAATTAGTACCTGTATGTATGTGTGTATGTAACATTGAATTGTTGCGTTCGAAACTATGGAAACACATTCTTTTAAAAAAAAATTTTTTTAGTCTTAGTTACAATGTTTCATACTGGAAAACAAAACAGCAGCAGCAACAACAACAACAACAAGAAAAAGGAACTTTCTGATCAATATGGATGTGATCCAATTGAAAACATATGCTGTTTCTCAATGAACTGATAAATAATCTCTATCAACTGTCAATGAAATCAGTAGTATATTGAATATTGAATAAATTTCAAATTAAATTAGTAGTTTAATTGTTTGTTTAAAGAAAAAAATTTGGCAATCTGTTTAATCTGTGTATAGTTACTAATTCCAATCTTGTCAGCACAATTAAATTATGATGACTGTTAAAACAAATACCATTCATATTAAAAATCCAATTGGATTTGTGTAAAAATAGAAAAAAAAATGTGAAAGAGTGGGCAAATATCATTGATGGTTACAAATGACCTTAATTTTTATACGTGTACACTTCTATCATTATAGATTGTTATGTTTTAGATATTTTACCATTATATTTCAATGATCATTTTTCAAGTTGTTCATTTTGTTGTTGCACAATTATAAACACACAATAAAGATATTCACATTTTGTGTGTATGTGTGTGTTATGTGCAGGTGTATACAATAATTCTTATGAAACAGGGATATTTATTTGCTATGACTACTACTTCTATGTCATGTGCACATATATATATATATATATATATATATATATATATATATATATGTACACATATTTATGCACATATATTTATGTGGGAATGAAAATACAACCCCTAAAATGGGGATATATATATAATGCAATCAAAAATATTGATTGGGAATGAATGAACTGTAAAAAGATTATTATTATTAGTAGTAGTAATAATAGCAGTATTATACCGTTATCAATTGATGGGGAGATGTTGGTAGGTGGAAAAATAACCAACTTAGGTAACACTTTTTAACAGCATAAACTCTATAATACAAATCACAGCTATCATTATTGTCACTATTAATATTATTAGTATTAGTATTGATATTATTATGTTATATGATATTTGATAGCATTTTGTTTTTGACTTAAACGATTGGAAATAATTTATAATAGTTACTATTTACAGTTTATAGCATAGAAACAATTCAAACACAAGGAAATGAACTATTAAGCACTATTTACACTTATGAGAAAAAGAGTATAAGTTAATATTTTATTTTAATAATTGAATTCATGAGTTAATATAAGCTAGATCACTATTGAAAGCCTGGAAACATTGGAAAGCCGTTTCGTCTTAGCATGGAACTCAGTAGTGCGTATTGACGAGTCCGAACGTGAGACTCGAACCTAGGACCTTCGGTTTTGAGCGCGAACGCGTAAACTACAAATCACTGGGCAGACATTCTAACTTCAGTTGATCCATGATCTTGCTCAACTCTTCATCCATTTGTCTGAGGTGAATAACTGTCTCTATCTACTAGTCATGGCTTTTCTTAGAACTCTAGGAAGTCCATCTTGAAGACATATAGATATATATATCATAAATAATTTGATATAATTAGAAGGAGTAACGTAGATACTGATTTCTAATGATTAAAAGCCCATCGAGAGACTCGAAAGTCCTGAGTGTGATCCATGGTGAGGCCATTTGTGAGTATTGCTGATGAGCTACAAACTAGAATACAACAACTATTCAGTCCCCTCTAATTTTCAGTGGTACGTTAACTGAGATTGTTTTTAGTAGAACAATAGCGTAAGCTGTCAAATAAAAATTGTTTTTATGACGATTTTAAAGATTATCTACTAGTTTCTAGATTTGTTAAATTCAAAAGTCTCAAAGGAAATTATTAATTCATCTATAGATCATGAACATTTATTATCATAATTTACTAATAAATTACTATCCTGTATGGTAATACACTTAAGAAAATAAAATATCTCGTCCGGCTTTTGCCAACTTACGTTACCTATGGCGAAGGCGACATATCCGTCTATTAATTAAGGGACGAGTATACTGTGCGGCAGTCCGTTCTGTTCTTATTTAGGGTTGCGAGACGTGGCCATTAAGAGTAGAAGATATTCGTAAGCTATGTCGTAAGTAGATGTCTTATAAATATTGCTCGCATCTGATGAGATCACCTAGTAAGTAAGGTTAGATGCAGGGTATTAAGGAATGATGGTAAATCAGTTGATGGGGTTGTAAATGTTCATCGACTGAGATGGTTGGGCCGCATTTTCGGTATGCCTGAACACCGATTACCACGATTTCCAATGCTGACTAGTGATGGGAATGGTTGGAAGAAAGTTGGGTATGGCCAAACCAAAACATGGCATCAGTGCTTGCAGTCACTAACTTCTACTCTGAGCCATGTTGGTCGATGCAGACTACTTGGTTGAGGTCCTCGTGATTATCGTAACCAATGATTGGAGAATCTTGGTGACATTGCTCAGAATCGATCACAACGGTGTAGGTGTATACACTCTCTGTCGTCCTTTAAACTATGAGATTAAAATCGCTTTATATCATTCTTTCTACGAACTAACTTTTTATTCCTGTACTATGTTCTTATATGCAATCTCTGTTTTATATATTATCACCATTGAATTAACTACTTCTATGAATTCGGTGTTCATCTTGTTGTGGTAATGAAGTATGGCAACTTGGACCGATGCACATATGTGCCTGATCCTACGTTGTAGCTGACTGACTGAAATAACTAGTATAATAATGTACATATAAAGCTTACATATGACTAAATTTTTATTAAAACCAAACTTCTCACCACAAATGAAGGTTAAGCACCATTTATATATTGTCTTTATTCTGTCTTAAACTGATAGAAGTATGAATTTTGTGCATAATAATCACAAATAATTTCATTTGTAATGGCTTAGTTTATACATAATATTTCATAAGTACACTAATTAGTATTTCATGTTATGCCTTGAGGATTGTTTTCATAGAATTTTGGTATATTAAATAGTGGAAAGAGATCGATGTCAGTTTTTCAGCAAACTATCAAGTCTATATAACTTATTTAATGGAAGTATCTTTTTCATAATTGATCTCTTAGATTAAGTCATTTATTGATCTAGTTGATATTGTGGTGTGAGCTACGTATATCCAGTATATAACGATAGTCAGGAATAGAATGTATTTCAGTAGAAGATCGAGAAGGAAAGAACGGGAACAGAAAACAATTGGTATGAAAATCCAAGATCAATAAAATCTGAGACGATGGACTGATATTTGCAAAAGAAACTGTCAAGCTTGAGACAACTGATTGATCTTTTGCAAATTAAGTATTTACTGTATGATGCTCAGATTTTAGTAAGATATTCTGTAATTTTGTGTTCAAATACATTCGGTTGCTCCCACTTGTGTTCTTGTTCACTACAATGCTACTGATTTATTAATCATTCATCAATCGGTAGAAGTTGTTTTTAGTGAGTAAAGTGTTTCAAGGGACAATTAACATGAATAATAAAGATTATCCCAATTCTTTGACCAATCAAATAGGAATTGTTATGCCTCACTATTTCCTTATGGTAAAAGACATTGCCTAGAAAAGATTACAAATTGACTAAAGTATGAATATTTGTCAACTTGCTTCTTTTAACAAATTAAATAAATCATTTTACTATAATGACTTAATGAATCGAAATAAAATAGAAAATTTGTATGGTCAAATGTTTCGTCATATATTCAATTATTTTGATTAACTATATTCATTCACTGATTATTATGTATGTTATAACTTTGAGTAGGCTATTAACAATAAATTTACTAACCCCTTGATTGTGTTATTCCACACGATCGATTGATAGACCAAGGAATTTCCCACAATTAAAAATCTCTAGTTAGAACGCTATAAAGCTAGATGAGTTACAAATACCACTCTATTACTTGAACTCGTAATTTAGATAGATAGGTAAAATACAAAGTCGATAAGTTCATACGATTTGTGTATCTCGAATGAACACTGTTAATATGTAAGTAACAGATTTATAGTTAAGTAACTATAATCTATGAATAATAAAACACATAGTAAATATTAATGAATCAAAATTTAAAGTGGAATTCGTGATGCATATAAATACTTTGAAGAAATGATCCTAAATTCACGGAAATGATCAGTAGGCTATCATCTTTTCTACCGTTGGAGTTTAATTGATCAGCTACCTATGTTTCAATTAGAATCACGTAAAAATCATTCACAAGGATGAGCATAATTATCGTTAAACGATGAAAGACCACGACTCCTATGTAAGTTTATGTAAGTAAGTGGTTCTAGCTACTTCGATCTGTGAAGTTTCATCAGTGTTAACCCAATTCATCATTTAGTCAATAAGTCACATAGTAGAACCTGGTACGTAAGTACATCGGTTTCAGTTGCCACACCCCATTAGCACAGTGAGATAGAATTGTCAGGTCAAATCCAACAATATTAGAGCTAGTAACAGTTTCCAGTGATAATAGGAAAGATTATGCATCGAAGATACGATTTTTAGGAAAGAAAATACCAATTTATGAAATAAAAATAAAAACGTCATTTAGAATCTCAGAATTTGGGGGGAAACAAAGAATGGATACGCATGCGCCATTGCAAACGGTTTTGACCCATATCATTCATTCTCTAACCGTTGGTTATGGTAACCACACGGACCTCAATCAAACAGTCTACACCTATTAAATTGACTCAGTCCAATTGTAAGCTATTCATGAACTAATACCATGTTTTGACTTGACCGTCTCTAGCTTTCTTTCAGCCTACCACTACACCAGAAAACATCGACTATCTAGGTAGGCGTTTGGGATGTGTAACACATGTCCCAACCATCTCAGTTGATGAAGATTTACTACCTCATCAGTCGCTTCCCAATTTTCGCCTAGTACTCT